CCGGAAAAAAAAAAAAAGGGTGCTACAACCGCCCTTTTCAAACTCGGGGCCTGATGTTACCGCCGTCTGATGTTATGACTGCCTTTTTCGAACTGCGGCGATTTTTCCGTTGCCCATTGGTGTTTTTTTTGCCTTTACAGTTTGAAGGTGTGCTACTACCGCACTTGTTTCTTTTTTTTTTCTTTTTCAGAATCATCGTTCAGGACCAGGTCCTCTACCTCTTGGGTGGTGCGAGCCCCCAAGGGTAGAGGCCGGCGTGGTTCCGATGGCTCCGGTCTATAATTTGGCTTTTTCTCCCCGACACCGACATTTTGGTTTTCTACTCCTTTTCCGGGTTCAACTTGGTTATGGAGGATTCCCGGCCTATATTTTGGTGTGCGAAATCAAATGAGCCAAGTTTCATGTAAAAAAAAAAAAAAAAAACGTTTGAAGTTTCGGTGAAGGCAATAATTTGGTTCTTGCTGCCAAATGCCTTGTGCTGCTGGGCTCTACTGAGCGACGCTCGAGGGCCTTGTCCGCCTTATCTCACTGACAGGCTGAAGATTCGTGCAGAAACACTGAGGGGAGCGCTATTCTTTGCACCATGTGGACATCGTAGGAATGCGGCCGTCTTCAGGGCCAAACACCTCACACCTCACCCCGCCGATGGTATGGGCACTGGGCAGGGGTTAATTTCCCCATCAACCAGGCTGTTCTGTCCGGCAGTGAGCGACAGTCACTCTGAAAGAGTACAACGAAAGGGTTAATTTTCTGCTACTTTACACGCTGACGTGCTGCCCATCTACTGGGGAATCCTTCCTGCCGGGTCTGTCTCAGGTTCCGTGCTTCCATGGTGCTCTCCTGCAGTTGAGGTTTGCGAATGGGGGCCGTAATGTTTGCTTCCTGCAGTTGATATAATGGTGGGCCCAGGTGGGGCACTGGGGCTCGTTCGACACTCCTTGGGCACGTAGTCCCCGAGGAATTGTTCGTTCCACCTATCCTCGGGGAGGTAGTCGGAAAAAGAAAAGTGAAAACACTGAAGGAAATTCCTTGGGCTCCGAGGATTCCCCAGCCATTTCTTCCTTTTGCCCCAAGGGACCTCATCCAAGGGACCTCACGAGGTCCCTTGGGCAAAAGGAGTCCGCGTGTCACGGAGAGGAGCGGGCACATGGGTAGAGAGACATTACAACCGAGAATCTGGATCGTGGCGGCACCCTATTGGCTGATGGCCTCAAACACATTTGATTTTTTTTTCTTTTCTTTTTTCTTGTCTGACGTCGTTCGAAGGAAATGTCCTCGGCCGACGTCCCCGAGGACAGGTGGAACGATGGCGGGAATTTCCTTGAAAACCCCCAACGAAACTTCCTTGGGCCCCGAGGACACCCCAAGGAGTGTCGAACGAGCCCCACTGACCCCTTGGGCTTGGGCGGGTCAGCACAGGTGGAAACATTTTCCCCGGTCTTGGTTTGTTCACAGAGCCCCTCTTGGTTGTTGGTCTGGGACTTGCTGGTATGAGCAGGTTGTTTACTCTGTTTTCTGTTTTTGAACTTTTTTTTGTTTTAAGTCCATGGTGTTGTAGAGGCCAGTCACTGTGTACACAGTGATCACCTGGAGCAGTAGGCAGTGGGTGTCCTGGACTATGAGACCACCTCCCATCCCATCCTCACATCAATACTCCTAGCGCACCCCCTATCCCACTATCCTACCTCAGTGTGACCAGCACTCAGGACCATAATTACCCTACCAATGGGCAGGTAACTTGGACCGAACAGCAGTGATAGGCACCAGGGCTGATAGGTTGCCCAGCCCTTGTGGAAGCGGAATCGGACGAGCCTTGTCGAACGGGAACTTCCGACGCCAGGCCCACTGGCAGACAATCTACTACAGGCCCCAAGAGACTCTGGGCCCTAGGTTTCAGACAGGGAAGCACCCATTCAAGCAGTCTTGCCGTCCTTCCCCTAGCTTACCCAAGGCCAGGCGGAACTCGGACTGGCCTGAGCGACTTATACCCCTACCCTTAACCCAGGGTCTAAGCCATATATATAGCCACTAGACAGTTCTACCCGAATATCAGTAGGAACTCCGGTGGCCCATACCTGTCCCTACCGCAGATACTAGACCCCACCCAGTGACTAGACCCCCCCAGTCGGATAGTTGTGTAGTTCGAAATGTATGTGTATACCCGAAGGCTGTGTATGCTTTGTGTATCTATGTATGAAGATGTACAGACAGCACTATGTGTGGAAACTTGTGTATGTAGCCCGTAGGCCATGTATAATTTGCAAGCTATGTATATGCCCGAAGGCTGTGTGTGCTGTGTGAATCAATGTATCGAGATGTATAGGCAGAGTCACGTGTGTATCGAAGAGAGAACGGGGTAAGCTGGACAAGGATCCCCCCAAGATCCGAGTGAAGCTCGAACCCGTGACCTTGAAACATGTAATCGTATGACTCTACCATGTGAACGGCTACTAGTGGAAATGGCACGAACGTGTGATATGTTATGATCCTGGCCAATTTTGAGATACACATCCATCAGATAGTACAATGCCGTCCAATTGCAGAAGGAAATGAATGAACTTGAGAGGAGAGAGAGGATTGGAAGAAGAAGAAGTAAGAAAGAAGAAGAAGAAGATGTACACCAGCATAGACAAATGACAAGGCTCTTCTTCATCGCCCAAGAATCTCCTGCTCCTTGTCTCCCCCTTCTCTTATTCATACAAGAAATAATAATACAATGTTGAATGGCTGATCCAGAATCAATGTCCGAGTTCCTCTTCTACTACAGGTATCACTTGAGGTCCACCATAGCCATGGCTGCCTCTCTCACTCTTCACTCTCATAGGCCGAGGCTATGGCGGACTACTAGGCCTTGCCCAGATGCCCAAAGGACAACCCAAAGCAGCTATATTCTCTAGCTCAGGCCGCCATGCCCAACCTTGCCTCGAAGCTTCTTGGTGTGGCTCTCCCTGGTTGGGGACTCCCTGCTGAAGCACCCACCAAGGTGATGAAGATGTCTGCCACCATAGCCAGGTAAGTACCCCTGGCGCTCCTCCCCCTTCCTTCTTCTTCCCTCTTGTCCTTCTCCTTCCTCCCCAGCAGCACTGCTCCAGCATAGCGCTGCTCCAGCCAGCGCTCCACCAGTGTGTCACCAAACTTGCACACACTGAAAAAGAGGCCGGGCTCTTCACCCGGCTGGGAGATATAGCGGCCTGCTTGCCTCTTCGGGCGGTGACT